TGTCGCAACCCCCTACTCAGTCGCCACGCCCCTGGCAAATACAATTGTGTTGTTAGAAAAATGTTCCTCGAATTTGATTCCCTAATGGTCCTGTTTCCAGTATACAGTTTATCTCAAAAAGCAGAGCAAAATTTTGTAATACAGCCATTTTCGTCCAAGCACAAACCGCAAACATTTTCGCGCGTTTGTTTACGTTTGAAACGGGGCGTTTACCGTTGGAAACTGAAATGTTTCACCGCTCATGTGACGTGTCACATTGAAAAGCCTTAAGCTATTTTTGGCGCAACTGTCATGTTTTGATGTGCCTCCGTGCACGTTTCAATATGTCCAAGCCCATGATAATACGTTCTAGTCACAAAAAGTATGAATATAAACAAGTTTGGTCGCTCTTACAATATCGTGAGCTTGGAAATACTGAAAAGTACACGAAAGCGCATCAAAACATGAAAAATAACTGAATTAGGCTTTTCACTATAACACGTCGCATGAGCAGTGAAACATGTCCGTTTCCAACGGTAAACGCCCCGTTTCAAACGTAAACAAACGCGCGAAAATGTTTGCGGTTTGTGCTTGGACGAAAATGGCTGTAACTGGGTGATGTTCTGTAATCACGTTAAGCAAGCCTAAACTGAAATTTGAGTTTTTGGACAAAATAAAGAATGCATTTAAATAAAAGAAAATCAAGTTTTTAACAAAATTTAGGGAATTTGCATGGCTCAGTTAACCTTCAAATATTTGGAAATGTATACAAATAGTGTAGCAGATTTGTGGCAAGCGGTGGTTAAGTCGTTAAGAGATACCCTAAGGATATTTTTGGATCTATGTGAAGAACATTTAAGCGGGTAGTACGGTTTTCCAAGCCTGTCCCGAGTCATTAACGGTCAAAAACTGCAAAATGGTAGAAAAAGGCCACAAAATACTGCGTGTTTTTAAATTAAGCACCTTCAACCTTATGGAACTTAAAATCGGTGTCGAAAATCGTAGCGGCCGTTTAAATGTCCTACATTTAGTTTTTTTGGAAGCAAGAGCTGATCTGTAATTCCCCTATAGCCAAAAAAGTCCTTAGGGTATACCCTAACATTATGCCAAGTTGTATGCTTTCATCATCAAATGCACAATTGTTCTATAATTTTCACCAATCTGCCCCACTAAAATGATCTTATATATTTTTATACATAACCAGGAACAGTTGCGAAAAATGCAACCACAGGGCCCTCTGGCAAGACCCTATTTTGATTGTCACTGAAAAACTCACTCGTGAATGTTTCATCCAAGTTACACTAGATACCATACTATTACCTATACTAACAGAATACTGAGGTGTTATCGAAAGTTATACTGCAATTACACGGATGATTCGTACTGAATATTCTCCACGACTTCACCTACAGATGTTGTGCCATCATTATCACCATCTTTTATCAAAATCGTCCGAGCTAGTTCAGGATCTTCACGAATTAAATCTTCCACCATGTATTTCACATTTAATTTCAGCTCTTCCTCCCATGCTTTTTTTCTTTCTTCGCTTCTTTTCGACGCTACCATATTGAATATGTGTGGCATGATACCGAGACTCGCAGTTGTCACAACTTGAACTACACCAGTAACATTTAATTCATTTAGCATATTGATTAGCTGCAAAATACCAAATGAGAATACAAAAGACCAAAATAGTTTCAATCCCAAATAAAATAAGTTCGTATCGTACGGTAACAATTCTTCCCTGATTTTATCATAAAGTTCTTTGGACACCACAGGTAATACTTTTTCCTTGCGTTTGGGATGTCTATTTGGTATGCAACCATTATTGACTTGCTGTTTGTCTCGACATGCTTCGTAAATTAGCCGTTTTAATACACAGTATTTCTCTTCCATGGTCTTCCAATAACTGCAACAGTAGAATGTTAGGACAGAGAAAAATGCGAAATAAGGAATGAAGTAAATAAGATTTAGAAACAATCCTAAAAGGAAAGACTGTGTCACGAATATCATTACGCCCAAAGTATGCATGAGAAAGGATAAAAGGCCAATCGCGTGAAACCAATTCAAGGATCGTGAACAGCGAGACTCGGTCTTATAATCCAAGTTTTCAGTCAGGTATAAGAATGTAAATAGGCAGACTTCAGGATAGGGAATTGTTGTTATTAAAAGAAAGAGAAATACAATACAAATATAAGGCAGACAAATCAGTACTGCAAGTACATAACACGTGTATAGTGCG